ATTGTCAATGCCAGCAAGTTTGTCATTATTGATCGATAACAATACTTTTTCCACCTCTCCCACACTAACTTTACAAATTTCAAACTTGCAATGCTTTTCTTTCATTGTTTGCTTTTTTATGCATGAATACGATGGCGAAGGGGGGGGGGGGGGGGGGGGGGGGGGGGGGGGGTAGATCAGCTTAAGTTTGCCCACTTTGCCAATGAAGTAATCCTTAAAATAATTGGCAACATCAAATGGTTTTGTGATGAATAAGCCATCTGATTCAATGAAAGATGGAGTTGAATTTGTCTTTCTACCCATAATTTCATTTAAAGTACTCCAAAGTTTTTTTCCCATCATTCTTTATATCATTGATCTTGGCTTCATAATACAGTTTCTTCTTCTTTTTGTTGAGTTTAGTCACATAATTTCTCAATTTGCAGTAAGTCAACCAGTCAGATGTGCAGCCAGACTTGCCCCATCTCTTTCAACCATACACTTTTTCAATTCCTCATCAGTCCATGGAGCCTTAACAGTTCCTAACAGGTGCATGTTTATCAATAATGGGAAGAACCAATTTAATAAATTCATCAAGTGCATCATCTGGATGCTCCTTATTAATCACATCAGACCAACAAATATTTTTTACATCATCCACATACGAGTCACAGCAAAATCTTTTGTATGATCTCGTATACACTATTTTAGGCTTTCCTGGATATAGCCACTATATTGTGATCACTGCATCCAATGGGTACGGATACAGCTTTAGAACAAAGTTCTACAGTATTAGTAAAAATGTGATCGATACATGTGGATGATCTTGTTCCTGTAGTGTTTGTAAACACCCTGGTAGGTTGATTAATAACCTGAACCAGATTACAGGCACTGGTTACAATAAGAAGCTTCCTCTTGAGCGGACAGCTTGGTGAAAACCAGTCAATATTCAGGTCCCCAAGAAAGTAGACCTCTCTGTTTATATCACATACACTATCAAGCATTTCACACATATTTAAATACTGAATGTTTGCACTTGAAAGGGCTTTAGATGTGGCAAGTGAACCTGCAACCACAACACTTCAATAACACTTGACATCTCTAAGCATTACAGGGATATGGCTCTGAATATATACAGCAACACCTCCCCCATAAGCATTTCTGTCTCTTCTATAGATGTTATATTCTTGTATTGCTACAGCTGTATCATCAAATGAATTATCTAAGTGAGTCGCAGAAATGGCTAATATATGAATTTTATCTGATGTTAGCAAGTTATTGATTTCATGAACCTTATTTCGAAGGCTACATATATTAATATGGGCTATTTTCAGCCCTTTCCTGGGTAGCTTATCAGAGATAGACATAATACTGGAAAGAGCAAACAAAGCAAGAGAACAAAATATACATTCAGCAGTCCATTAATCAATTGGTGTGTGTGTGTGTGTGTGTGCTGCGGGGTTGAAGCTACGAACCCATAGGCTTGGCTCTCTGTGATATGTGTCTTGTCAAAGTGCCAACAGAGAGCACCGACCTCTGCTGGAATCTTTTTCTTTTTATCTACACATTTCACCTTATTGCTGAGTGAAGAGATAGCACAGGGTAAAGAATCACACAGCAAAAGAAGATACACTATATATACAAAAGTATGTGGACACCCCTTCAAATTAGTGGATTCGGCTATTTCAGCCACACTCGTTGCTGACAGTTGTATAAAATCGAGCACACAGCCATGCAATCTCCATAGACAAACATTGGCAGTAGAATGGCCATACTGAAGATCTCAGTGACTTTCAACGTGGCACCATCATAGGATGCCACCTTTCCAACAAGTCAGTTAGTCAAATGTCTGCCCTGCTAGAGCTGCCCTGGTTAACTGTAAGCGCTGTGATTGTGAAATGGAAACATCCAGGAGCAACAACGGCTCAGCAGCGAAGTGGTAGGCCACAAAAGCTCACAGAACGGGACCGCCGAGTGCTGAAGCGTGTAGCGAGTAAAACTATTCTGTCCTCAGTTGCAACACTCACTACCGAGTTCCAAACTGCCTCTGGAAGCAACATCAGCACAATAACTGTTCCTCAGGAGCTTCATGAAATGGGTTTCCATGGCCAAGCAGCCGCACACAAACCATGCTCAATGCCAAGAGTCGGCTGGAGGGTGTAAAGCTCGACGCAATTGGACTGTGGAGCAGTAGAAACGCGATCTCTGAAGTGATGAATCACGCATCACCATCTGGCAGTCTGACGGACAAATCTGGGTTTGGCAGATGCCAGGAGAACACTACCTACCCAAATGCATAGTGCCAACTGTAATGTTTGGTGGAGGAGGAATAATGGTCTGGGGATGTTATTCATGTTTCGGACTAGGCCCCTTAGTTCCAGTGAAGGGAAATCTTAACTCTACAGCATACAATGACATTCTAGATGATTTTGTGCTTACAACTTTGTGGCAACAGTTTGGGGAAGGCCCTTTCCTGTTTCAGCATGACAATGTCCCCGTGCACAAAGCGAGGTCCATACAGAAATGGTTTAATAATAAATAATAATATGCCATTTAGCAGACGCTTTTATCCAAAGCGACTTACATTCATGGGTGCATACATTTTTTGTGTATGGGTGGTCCCGGGGATCGAACCCACTACCTTGGCGTTACAAGCGCCGTGCTCTACCAGCTGAGCAAGATCGGTGTGAAAGAACTTGACTGGCCTGCACAGAGCCCTGACTTCAACCCCATTGAACACCTTTGGGATGAATTGGAACACTGACTGCGAGCCAGGCCTAATCACCCAACATCAGTGACCAACCTCACTAATGCTCTTGTGGCTGATTGGAAGCAAGTCCCCGCAGCAATGTTCCAGCATCTAGTGGAAAGCCTTCCCAGAAGAGTTGAGGCTGTTATAGCAGCAAAGGGGGGACCAACTCCATATTAATGCCCATGATTTTGGACAAGCAGGTGTCCACATACTTTTGGTCATGTAGTGTATATTGAAATCACAGGACAGCGCTATTGAATCTTGAGAGAGCCTATTTCGTTTGTTTCTCTCCCTCAAGCAGAGATTGTTTATGAAACAGCTCTATAGCTAGTTGTTATTGGTCATTATCAAATTGTGGATCCAAAGTTTTTTGTTAATATGTCAAAGTGAGTTGAAAAAGTTTAATTCAAGTTCCAAGCAAAGTTGACAGGCAGTTACCATGTGATAAATGACTTACGAAGCTTCTGTTTGATCCCGTTGTGGCTTTCAAAACATCAACCTCTGCTAGTCACAATTAACAAACTTATTCTAGATATTCTTCTCACAATCTCACTTGACAGAGCTGCGGTCAGTGAGATTCTCATCCTGTGGAGTTCCTGTATAGACAGATTATATTTTTTTAGAAAATAGATTTCTTGAAACACTGGCTACATTGTATTTCAAACTTTTAAATGATTAATTTTGATAAGCATTTCCTGTTTTACATCTAAATCATGCAATGGAGCCACCGTCTTTTGTAAATGTGTAAACTTGATGTAAAAAGTAGGTTTCTCGCATAAAGATGCAGTTGCTCATTTCAAAGTTGCATTATCAATGACGGAGCTTTGTTTGATCACATGCCTTTTTGATCCGTGTGTTGCAAATGCGAGATCCCACTGGTACCGGTGCTTTCTTCGACGCCAAGTCGCATTCAAACACTGACCTCTACTAGACACCTTATTTACCAATTTACTTGTGGCGCAGTGGTCTAAGGCACTGCATCGCAGTGCTAGCTGTGCCACTAGAGATCCTAGTTTGAATCCAGGCTCTGTCGTAACCGGCCGCGACCGGGAGACCCATGGGGCGGCGCACAATTGGCCCAGCGTCGTCCAGGGTAGGGGAGGGAATGGCCGGCAGGGATGTAGCTCAGTTGGTAGAGCATGGCGTTTGCAACGCCAGGGTTGTGGGTTCGATTCCCACGGGGGGCCAGTATGAAAAAAATAAAAAAAATAATGTATGCACTCACTAACTGTAAGTCGCTCTGGATAAGAGCGTCTGCTAAATGACAAAAAAATATAAATAATAATGCATACCCCATGAAAGGTAGCTCAGCCAACAAGCTCTTACAGTCTCACGTCAGAATTAGACGTTCAAACAACTTTCTATCGCTGGATTCGAACATGCAACCTTTGGCACCACAGACAGATGCTTACGCTAACCCTAACCCTAGCAAAACCCAAACCTACTTGAAGGTAATAGCGCTCACTGTTGCCCCTAGTGACCGGTTTACACGTCATCGCCCAACGTCCTCAGACATGGATGGACGTCGAATAGCCACTTGTATCACGGGTGACCTGGCTGAGCTCAGCAGGTTGGGTAGAAGATTAGGAAACAATCAGACAACATAGGCCAGCGGTTCCCAAATTAGGGGTCACGACCCACATGATATGAAAATTGGGTCGAGAGAATACTTTCCGAATGCACTATATTTGGAATAGAGCTATCAAAGGCAAATCCTAGAGGAAAACCTGGTTCCCTTACCGGGGCGGCAGGTAGCTTAGTGGTTAAGAGCATTGTACCAGTAACCGAAAGGTCGCTGGTTCTAATCCCTGAGCCGACTAGGTGAAAAATCTGTTGATGTGCCCTTGAGTAAGGCACTTAACCCTAATTGCTCTGGATAAGAGCGTCTGTAAAATGAAATGAAATGAAAAGAAGAGAATTTAATGTAGGTAGGCCTCACACTCCAGTACTGTAGGTGGCGGTGTACCTTAAACGTTGGATGCGATCCGCCAACCCAATCCCAAAAGAAGGAGGCGCAGGACAGACTTTTGCCCAATTGAGAAAACCCTACTATTTGTATTGTCCAATACCTGAATGCCGTACTTCCTGATGTTAAGGGTGTGATTTTTAGCATTAGCTTCACTGAAGTAAAATAGCAAAGTAATACGATACCTAGCCAGACGACCGATCCACAAACTAAGTGTAGGCTTACGCAATGTTCTTCTGAGAAATAGACTTGTTTACAAGTCGACTCTTTAGTTGCACAGAGTGGTGGGTATGCGGAATCAAAATGGGAAACATTTTCGGCAGAAAGAGACGCACGCGAGTCACAGAGCAGGACAGAGCAGTTTTGGTGAGTTGTCTAATGTTACCTTAGCCAACTATCTAGCAAGTCAGTCTGCTAACATAGCTAGCTAGCTACCAACATGTTCCAGTTGACACTCTACCCACACTGTACCCACACTGTACCCAGTTAGATAGGGAATCATTTCATGTATAGACCTAATGTTAGATCAGCAAAGTACACTACATGACCAAAAGTATGTGGACACCTGCTCCTCGAACATCTCACTCCAAAAATCATGGGCATTAATATGGAGTTGGTCCGCCCTTTGCTGCTATAACAGCCTCCACTCTTCTGGGAAGGCTTTCCACTAGATGTTGGAACATTAACATTCCCTAATTGAAAGCGATGCAAATGGATACAAATGGTAAAATCATGGCATATTTGGACTAGATAATATGGAAGAGTATTAGGGTCAAGGGAAGAGAAGAAGAAAAAAAACGATAGTAAAAAAGTATTCGCTGGTTGAGAGAATGCCAAGAGTGTTCAAAGCTGTCAAGGCAAAGGGTGGCTACTTTGAAGAATCTCAAATATAAAATATATTTTATTTAACACTTTTTGGGTTACTACATGATTCCAGATGTGTTATTTCATAGTTTTGATGTCTTCATTATTTTTCTACAATGTAGAAAATAGTAAAAATAAAGAAAAACCCTTGAATGAGAAGGTGTGTCCAAACTTTTGACTTGTACTGTACATATGTAGAGACATGTGGGTTGTGTGTTTGCAGGTGTGTGTGTATGTGGGGAGGGTGAGTGGGTCTAATACACTTGTCCAAACAGGCGTCACACACACACAGTGTCCCCAAAGCAATAGCATTCTAACGGCCATGTATTGTTAGACTGTGAAGAGTCTGCGTGCATCAGTCCCTGTCATGGTGCCCTTCCAATTCGCTACAATGTAATCCTCAATCCCCTGCGTATGTCAACACCGTGTATAGTATATTATAGAGTAACAGCTAGATCAGCAGCCTATATGTCGAAAGGTTAACTTACACATTTGTGCGTAGTGGCATGGTGTTTTATGTAGGCTACACTTCCAATTAAGTAGCGTCATAGGCCTGTGCTTATTATCTTTTGAATGTAGGTCACAGATTGCGTGGAGTAGGATTGCGGGTCCCTGTCGGGCTCAAGGGCTAACCCCAAACCTCTGTCATGAACCTTGCATAGCCACGGGGCAGGCGTTTGGGTAAAGCCCCATCTGAGACAGTCATGTTACGTTCCATTATTATAACCTAACAGCTAACCGGTCTAGCCACTAGCCTCTACAAGGTGGACCAGTGGTAGCCTAAGTTAGCGGTATAGCTGAGACAAATAGCCTGTAACGGAGACGATGCCCCAGTTTTGGGATAACCTCCTTCATTCCTCCCATCCTGTAAGACATCACTGATAGATGGATAGTGAAAGGAGATGTTACGCTAGGCTACCAAGTCATGTCAGATCAGTGATTAGTTCTTTATAGCCTATATAGCCTATCATCATTGATCTAATAGGCCTATATTTCGATCAATTATTATTTAAAGAAAGGGATTATCTACCATGAATATATTCAAACAGTGCCTCAGATTAGCTGGTATGCGCATGCAGGAGTGGTCGTTGAGTTGCCTCTCCTCCCAGACACTTGCATAAAACCCCTGCTTCATTGTTAATTCCTCCCGCAGTCGTTGGATAGGCCTATAATTTACTTTCACTTGCCTACTGTAACGTACAATTAGCCTAAAGGTTAGGATACTCAATCTAGTTGGCCGCTTTAGGTTTATAATGGGCTGCATAATAGTGGTTTTGACATGGGACAAATACACACGCATAGCCCCCGGTCTCCAGGATCCCAAGATAATTAGTTTTATTGGGTGTGCTCAAGTAGTTGCCTAGGCTACACAGCAGAACGTTGTAGCGAATTCGTAGGGCAGACGGAAAGGACTTGAACGTTTTTTGTTTGTCTTCAAAACGCACCATGGCCGTTAGAAGAGTGTATGCCTATAGTCTAACATTGCCAGGGGGAAACTTGGTGTGTGTGTGTGTGTGTGCGTGCGTGCAAGTTATTAGAACATTAGATTGATAAGTGTGAATGAGCAGTGACGCCTATTTGAACGAGTGTATTAGATCATTAGATTGATGGCCATTTGTTTGTTTTGCCCCTACTTTTTACCGCCCACACACACCTGCATACACACACAATCCGCCCGTCTCTACCTATGTATGTAACCACGGTTGCTCCTTCTGAAAATAATCTCTGGCACATCCTTTTCCAGATCGTAATACTTATAATGGGAGGCCCGCCCACTGGGAGCCAGGCCCTGCCAATCAAAATGAGATTTTCCTCACAAAAGGGCTTTATTACAGAAATACTCATCAGTTTCATCAGCTGCCCAGGTGGCTGGTCTCAGACGATCCCGCAGGTGAAGAAGCCCGATGTGGAGGTCCTGGGCTGGCGCGGTTACACGTGGTCTGCGGTTGTGAGGCCGGTTGGACGTGCTGCCAAATTCTCTAAAACGACGTAAAGAAATTAACATTAAATTCTCTAGCAGCAGCTCTGGTGGACATTCCTGCAGTCAGCATGCCAGTTGCGCACTCCCTCAAATCTTGAGACATCTGTGGCATTGTGTTGTGGGACAAAACTGCACATTTTAGAGTGGCTTTTTATTGTCCCCAGCACAAGGTGCACCTGTGTAATGATCGTGCTGTTTAATCAGCTTCTTGATATGCCACACCTGTCAGGTGGATGGATTATCTTGGCAAAGGAGAAATGCTCACTGACAGGGATGTAAACAAATTTGTCCACTTTTTTTTTTTTTATTCAGCGTTTTGTGCGTATGGAACATTTCGGGGATCTTTTATTTTAGCTCATGAAACATGGGACCAACATTTGACATGTTGCATTTGTATTTTTGTTCAGTATATAATAATATTGTTATGTGCTAAAATAGAAAGGATTTCCTTGTTACTAAAGCCAATTCTAAAGTATTGTTTCACCAGGTCATCTAACTGCAGGCATTTCAATGGTGGTGCGCACAGCAAAAGGGAGCCAGGGAGACATGCAGTTAACCAATCCCCTACATTAATCTTGAAATATAACTCCAACTTTATTTGTCATAAAAATAAAAAATAAACTCTAAATTTAGAGTTTATTCTCTAAATATAAAAAAAAGTACAACCACCCATCGCTGTTTATTTCGTTTTCTTTTTACTTGGCTCTAAAACTCTTCTGTAAGATAATGCTAAACAAGGTTGGAATGAGGTTAAATAAATTCAGCAAAATCCAATGAGTTAATTTGACTAAAAAATTAAAATCTGTTGAAATCGCACTGTGGATGTATTAGACTGCAGAATTACATATTGGGCATACTTAATACTCAATGAAATGGGGTATCAGGCTACTCAAGTGACACCCACATGTCAATACGCACAATAGGCTGGATAGTGAGTTGATTTCCCACAGTCAAAGTCCTGCAATAAGAGCTACAACACTAATATTTGTGTATACTCTTTACAGTTATGTTCTGTGGGTGTCACTGAGTAGACTGATACCCCATTTCATTGATCCACAATCCATAGGTAAGGTTGTACAGTGAAATATAAGTATGCCCCCAATGCAATTATGAAGTATAATACATCCACAGTGTGATTTCAACTGATTATAACATTTATTTTGTAAAATTAACAAATTGTTGTCTTGTTAAGTTTATATAACAACATTCCAACCTTATTTAGCATTATCTAGTCCAAATATGGCATGATTTCACTATTTGTATTTGCATCATATTTAATGAGTTGCTTTTATTTTGAAGATGAACCACTGATTCCACTATTGTTGCTCACACTGTTGTTTATGACACACAGGTGGGATAGGGGCAGTCTGACAACCCATACTAGCCAGGGCTAACACACCAAATTCAATTGACTACTGTACTGGCAAGCTAGACAGCAAACTGAAGCGATTTAGTGTTGAAACGAGTGGTATTCCAACAATCACATTAAAATGTCTGTCTGCTCAATTCCAGCAACTGAAACAGCAGAGAGATAAGTTGAAGCAGTACCAGAAGAGAATCACTCTGCAGCTGGAAAAAGAGAGGAATCTGGCCAAGCAGCTTCTGAAAGATGGCAAGAAAGAGTAAGGACTTGTTTCTCTCATCATAAATAAGACCTATCTGCCTAAAGTGAAGGTTGTCACTTTAAATAATTTGAGATTGAAAGCTGTCATGAGATATATATATATATATATATATATATATATATATATATATATACTGTATATACACAGTTGAAGTCGGAAGTTTACATACACTTAGGTTGGAGTCATTAAAAATCGTTTTTCAACCACTCCACAAATGTATTGTTAACAAACTATAGTTTTGACAAGTCGGTTAGGACATCTACTTTGTGCATGACACAAGTAATTTTTCCAACAATTGTTTACAGACAGATTATTTCACTTATAATTCACTGTATCACAATTCCAGTGGGTCAGAAGTTTATATACACTAAGTTGACTGTGCCTTTTAAACAGCTTGGAAAATTCCAGAAAATGATGTCACAGCTTTAGAAGCTTCTGATAGACTAATTGACATAATTTGAGTCAATTGGAGGTGTACCTGTGGATGTATTTCAAGGCCTACCTTCAAACTCAGTCCCTCTTTGCTTTACATCATGGGAAAATCAAAAGAAATCAGCCAAGACCTCAGAAAACAAATTGTAGACCTCCACAAGTCTGTACAAACAATAGTACGCAAGTATAAACACCATGGGACCACGCAGCCGTCATACCGCTCAGGAAGGAGACGCGTTCCTTCTCCTAGAGATGAAGGTACTTTGGTGCGAAAAGTGCAAATCAATCCCAGAACAACAGCAAAGGACCTTCCGAAGATGCTGGAGGAAACAGGTACAAAAGTATCTACAGTGGGGGGAAAAAGTATTTAGTCAGCTACCAATTGTGCAAGTTCTCCCACTTAAAAAGATGAGAGAGGCCTGTAATTTTCATCATAGGTACACGTCAACTATGACAGACAAAATGAGAAAAGAAAATCCAGAAAATCACATTGTAGGATTTTTAATGAATTTATTTGCAAATTATGGTGGAAAATAAGTATTTGGTCAATAACAAAAGTTTCTCAATACTTTGTTATATACCCTTTGTTGGCAATGACACAGGTCAAACGTTTTCTGTAAGTCTTCACAAGGTTTTCACACACTGTTGCTGGTATTTTGGCATATTCCTCCATGCAGATCTCCTCTAGAGCAGTGATGTTTTGGGGCTGTCGCTGGGCAACACGGACTTTCAACTCCCTCCAAAGATTTTCTATGGGGTTGAGATCTGGAGACTGGCTAGGCCACTCCAGGACCTTGAAATGCTTCTTACGAAGCCACTCCTTCGTTGCCCGGGCGGTGTGTTTGGGATCATTGTCATGCTGAAAGACCCAGCTACGTTTCATCTTCAATGCCCTTGCTGGTTTTCACTCAAAATCTCACGATACATGGCCCCATTCATTCTTTCCTTTACACGGATCAGTCGTCCTGGTCCCTTTGCAGAAAAACAGCCCCAAAGCATGATGTTTCCACCCCCATGCTTCACAGTAGGTATGGTGTTCTTTGGATGCAACTCAGCATTCTTTGTCCTCCAAACACGACGAGTTGAGTTTTTACCAAAAAGTTATATTTTAGTTTCATCTGACCATATGACATTCTCCCAATCCTCTTCTGGATCATCCAAATGCACTCAAGCAAACTTCAGACGGGCCTGGACATATACTGGCTTAAGCAGGGGGACACGTCTGGCACTGCAGGATTTTAGTCCCTGGCGGCGTAGTGTGTTACTGATGGTAGGCTTTGTTACTTTGGTCCCAGCTCTCTGCAGGTCATTCACTAGGTCCCCCCGTGTGGTTCTGGGATTTTTGCTCACTGTTCTTGTGATCATTTTGACCCCATGGGGTGAGATCTTGCGTGGAGCCCCAGATCGAGGGAGATTATCAGTGGTCTTGTATGTCTTCCATTTCCTAATAATTGCTCCCACAGTTGATTTCTTCAAACCAAGCTGCTTACCTATTGCAGATTCAGTCTTCCCAGCCTGGTGCAGGTCTACAATTTTGTTTCTGGTGTCCTTTGACAGCTCTTTGGTCTTGGCCATAGTGTAGTTTGGAATGTGACTGTTTGAGGTTGTGGACAGGTGTCTTTTATACTGATAACAAGTTCAAACAGGTGCCATTAATACAGGTAACGAGTGGAGGACAGAGGAGCCTCTTAAAGAAGAAGTTACAGGTCTGTGAGAGCCAGAAATCTTGCTTGTTTGTAGGTGACCAAATACTTATTTTCCACCATAATTTGCAAATAAATTCATAAAAAATCCTACAATGTGATTTTCTGGATTTTTTTTCTCATTTTGTCTGTCATAGTTGGCGTGTACCTATGATTAAAATTACAGGCCTCTCCCATCTTTTTAAGTGGGAGAACTTGCACAATTGGTGGCTGACTAAATACTTTTTTCCCCCACTGTATGTCCACAGTAAAAATAAGTCATATTATTTTATTTTATTTTATTTAACCTTTATTTAACCAGGAAGGGCTCATTGAGATTTAAAATCTCTTTTTCAAGAGCGTCCTGGCCAAGATAGGCAGCACCAAGTCATTACAAAAAATTACAGACAGACAACATGAAAAACTACAAGTAATCTAGTAAAAACCATTCATGAATTCACAAGAGTATAACAATATCAAAAACAGCAAATTAAAGACATTGACAGGTCAGGGAATCAGCCTCAAAATCCTTCATCAGAGATTTAAAAACACCAATCGGGACAAGTTCTTCCAGTTTAAAATTATTTTGTAAGGTGTTCCAAGACGATGGCGCAGAGTACATAAAAGACCTTTTACCAAATTCAGTTCGGACATTTGGAACAGTTAGCAGGATAAAGTCCAGTGAACGAAGAGAGTACCCACCACATTTCTGAACAATAAAAATGCCCAAATAAAAAGGTAGTAAACCCAAAATGGCTTTGTAAATAAAAGTATACCAGTGACTGAGCCTACGAGTGACTAGAGAAGGCCAGCCAACCCTGGTATACAAAGTACAGTGGTGCGTAAGGGTTTTGCAGTTTAAAATAAATCTCAAAGTACCATGATAAAGAGTGTCAATTGATCTCAAACACTGAGCGGAAGCATTCATATATAAAATATCCCCATAGTCTAGTAAAGGCATAAATGTAGCTGATACTAGCCTCCTTCTGGCTTCAAAAGAAAAACAGGCCTTATTCCTAAAATAAAATCCCAATTTCAGCTTCAATTTTTTTGTAAGTTGTTGAATATGCAATTTAAAAGAGAGGCCGTCATCAATTAGAATTCCAAGATATTTATATGAGGTTACAACCTCAATCTCCTTGCCCTGACAGGTAGTAACAGGTGAAAGGTTCAGAGGTCTATTTCTTGCATTAGAAAACACCATTAGTTTAGTTTTGTCAGTATTGAGGATAAGCTTCAATTGACACAAGGTATGTTGAACAGTATAAAAAGCAGTTTGCAAGTTCTGGAAAGCTTTTGTAAGAGATGAGGCACAACAGTAAATAACAGTATCATCAGCATAAAAATGAAGTTGTGCATTTTGGACATTTTTGTCTAAATCATTAATATAAATAGTGAATAAGAGAGGACCAAGTACAGAGCCCTGTATCGACATAACCTGAAAGGCCGCTCAGCAAGGAAGAAGCCACTGCTCCAAAACCGCCATAAAAAAGCCAGACTACGGTTTGCAACTGCACATGGGGACAAAGATCGTACTTTTTGGAGAAATGTCCTCTGGTCTGATTAAACAAAAATAGAACTGTTTGGCCATAATGACCATTGTTATGTTTGAAGGAAAAGGGGGGTGGCTTGCAAGCCGAAGAACACCATCCCAACCGTGAAGCACGGGGGTGGCAGCATCATGCTGTGGGGTTGCTTTGCTGCAGGAGGGACTGGTGCACTTCACAAAATAGATGGCATCATGAGGAAGGAAAATGATTTACATTTACATCATTTAGCAGACGCTCTTCTTCAGAGCGACTTACAAATTGGTGCATTCAACTTATGATAGCCAGTGGGACAACCACTTGTTTTTATTTTATTTTATGGGGGGTGGGGGAAGAAGGATTACTTTATACTATTCCAGGTATTCCTTGAAGAGGTAGGGTTTCAAGTGTCTCCGGAAGGTGGTCAGTGACTCCGCTGTCCTGGCGTCGTGGGGGAGCTTGTTCCGCCATTGGGGTGCCAGAGCAGCGAATAGCTTTGACTGGGCTGAGCGGGAACTGTGCTTCCGTAGAGGTAGGGGAGCTAGCAGGCCAGAGGTGGATGAATGTAGTGCCCTCGTTTGGGTGTAGGGTCTGATCAGAGCCTGAAGGTAAGGAGGTGCCGTTCCCCTCACAGCTCCGTAGGCAAGCACCATGGTCTTGTAGTAGATGCGAGTCTCTTTCTGTGTAAGGTAAGGTCGTACTCTGCGAATGTTGTAGAGCATGAACCTGGAGGATCGGGTCACCTCTTTGATGTTAGCGGAGAATGACAAGGTATTGTCCAGGGTCACGCCAAGGTTCTTTGCACTCTGGGAGGAGGACACAATGGAGTTGTCAACCGTGATGGCGAGATCAACCGTCTGCTAAATGATGTAAATGTAATCATGGAGCAGGCAGTCCATCCCCGGGAGGAAGAGCAGCTCCGTCTTGCCGAGGTTCAGCTTGAGGTGGTGATCCGACATCCATACTGATATGTCTGCCAGACATGCAGAGATGCGATTCGCCACCTGGTTATCAGAAGGGGGAAATTAGAAAATTAATTGTGTGTCATCTGCGTAGCAATGATAGGAGAGACCATGTGAGGATATGACAGAGCCAAGTGACTTGGTGTATAGAGAGAATAGGAGAGGGCCTAGAACTGAGCCCTGGGGGACACCTGTGGTGACAGCATGTGGTGCGGAGACAGATTCTCGCCACGCCACCTGGTAGGAGCGACCTGTCAGGTAGGACGCAATCCAAGAGTGAGCAGCGCCGGAGATGCCCAACTCGGAGAGGGTGGAGAGGAGGATCTGATGGTTCACAGTATCAAAGGCAGCGGATAGGTCTAGAAGGATAAGAGCAGAGGAGAGAGAGTTAGCTTTAGCAGTGCGGAGAGCCTCCGTGTCACAGAGAAGAGCAGTCTCAGTTGAATGACCAGTCTTGAAACCTGACTGGTTTGGATCAAGAAGGTAATTCTGAGAGAGATAGCAGGAGAGTTGGCTAGAGACGGCACGCTCAAGAGTTTTGGAGAGAAAAGAAAGAAGGGATACTGGTCTGTAGTTGTTGACATCGGAGGGATCAAGTATGTTTTTTGAGGAGGGGTGCAACTCTCGCTCTCTTGAAGATGGAAGGGACATGGCCAGCGGTCAAGGATGAGTTGATGAGCGAGTTGAGGTAAGGGAGATGGTCTCCGGAAATGGTCTGGAGAAGAGAGGAGGGGATAGGGTCAAGCGGGCAGGTTGTTGGGTGGCCGGCCGTCACAAGTCGCAAGATTTCATCTGGAGAGAGAGGGGAGAAAGAAGTCAAAGCTTAGGGTAGGGCAGTGTGAGCAGGACCAGTGGTGTCATTTGACTTGATAAATGAGGATCGGATGTCGTCAACCTTCTTTTCAAAATGGTTGACGAAGTCATCCACAGAGAGGGATGGGGGAGGAGGAGGGGGATTCAGCAGGGAGGAGAAGGTGGCAAAGAGCTTCCTAGGGTTAGAGGCAGAGGCTTGACATTTAGAGTGGTAGAAAGTGGCTTTAGCAGCGGAAACAGAGGAAGAGAATGTAGAGAGGAGGGAGTGAAAAGATGACAGGTCTGCAGGGAGTCTAGTTTTCCTCCATTTCTGGAAGAGGGCTCTGCTGCCCAGAGCCCTCTTCTGTGAGCTCGCAATGAGTCGTCAAGCCACGGAGCAGGAGGGGAGGACCGAGCCGGCCGGGAGGATAGGGGACGTAGAGAGTCAAAAGATGCATAAAGGGAGGAGAGGAGGTTTGAGGAGGTAGAATCAGGAGATCAGAGGGAGAAGGATTTAGCAGAGGGAAGAGATGATAGGATGGAAGAGGAGAGAGTAGTGGGAGAGAGAGAGCGGAGGTTGCGACGGCACATTACCATCGGAGTAGGGGCAGAGTGAGTAGTGTTGGAGGACAGCGAGAGAGAAAAGGATACAAAGTAGTGGTCGGAGACTTGGAGGGGAGTTGCAGTGAGATTAGTAGAAGAACAGCATCTAGTAAAGATGAGGTCAAGCGTATTGCCTGCCTTGTGAGTAGGGGGGGACGGTGAGAGGGTGAGGTCAAAAGAGGAAAGGAGTGGAAAGGAGGAGGCAGAGAGAAATGAGTCAAAGGCAGACGTAGGGAGGTTAAAGTCACCCAGAACTGTGAGGGGTGAGCCATCCTCAGGAAAGGAACTTATCAAGGCGTCAAGCTCATTGATGAACTCTCCAAGGGAACCTGGGATGGCGATAAATGACAAGGATGTTAAGCTTGAATGGGCTAGTGACTGTGACAGCATGGAATTCAAATGAGGAGATAGACAGATAGGTGAGGGGAAAAAGAGAGAATGTCCACTTGGGAGATATTCCTGTGCCACCGCCATGTTGACCAGATGCTCTCGGGGTATGCGAGAACACATGGTCAGACGAGGAAAGAGCAGTAGGAGTAGCAGTGTTTTCTGTGGTAATCCATGTTTCCGTCAGCTCCAAGAACTCAAGGGACTGGAGGGTAGCATAGGCTGAGATGAACTCTGCCTTGTTGGCCGCAGAACGTCAGTTCCAGAGGCTGCCGGAGACCTGGAACTCCACGTGGGTCGTGCTAACAGGGACCACCAGATTAGAGTGGGAGCAGCCACGCGGTGTGAAGCGTTTGTATGGCCTGTGCAGAGAGGAGAGAACAGGGATAGACAGACACATAGTTGACAGGCTACAGAAAAAGGCTACAATAATGCAAAGGAGATCGAAATGAAATGAACTAAACATCTGGGAAAGCAAGAGAGCGGGGCCTCCCTCACTTACGTTTCACTGAAACACTCAAATATAACTCTCCCAACTTCCACGTTAGAAATTATAATTGTTGTAAACTACAGCGGTTCAATGTTTTCTAAGAATAGACTCTAACTTAGTTTATTCAGCTAGCTAACTTGGTACAGTATTCTTCCGTGAAAACCGTCCAGGGCACCGAATCCTATGACGCCATAGCCAACTAGCATGCCAGCCTCCAATAACACGGTTTAGCACCAATACTCGGTTACAACAAACCAGTGTGTTAACACGCCAAACAGATCATTTGTGTCCGTGTCTAACGTTGTGTAAAGTTTTGGGTTAGTTTTGACAGTTTGAGTGAGTACGTCATCAACTTATTCAGCCAGTTAGTTAGCTAGAATAGTTAGCATACTAGCTAGCCATTGCTCTCTGCCAACGAACCACCCCTCCTCCAACGGCACGAAACACACAGAGAGAGCCAAGCTAACGTTAACTAGTCACCCATGTCCCGAATTCCCTTGAACGACTCTTGTTACTAGTATGTAAAAACAAAACAAAAATAAATGTAGGTTATAACGATTAGTTACCGGAGTGTAACTCCAGTTCTATGAGTGGAGCGGAGCCCCATAGGGGAGCTCTGCTCCTAGTGGTTTACCCTCTGCCCTAAGGCAGCAGCAGCCTGAGACAAAATTATGCACACACCTACAGCCAATAGGAGTACAAGTGTCCCTATAAGAGGGGATGCCTCCCCTCAATCAGCCTCCCGAGATATTTTTCTTCAGCGAGACTAGAGAGGGTCGGCAGGGCCTTAAGTCCTATGGGGCTCCGCTCCACTCATAGAACTGGAGTTACACTCCGGTAACTAATCGTTCTATATCGTGGAGCTCCGCCCCATAGGGGAGCTCTGCTCCTAGTGGTTTAAGGCGGAGCGTAGCGCTCCAAAATGTACTCCCTGCCGAGCCTAACACTTCCCATCGAAACGAGAAAGTCAGGCCCAGCAATGGCTGCAACCAAGTCCCGCAGTACTGCAACTAAAAACCCCTACGGGCGTCACAATATACAGCGTCATCGGTTAAAAGACCCGCCCCACCTCGTCCAATGGCAATGCCAATGACTAGTGGGCAGATCACCAGAATAGAAGCCATACTAATCTGTACTAGCAGATAGATGTGCCTCAATATCCTGTGAAAACACTACCGACCACTAATGGAATGACATCAAGTGTCACTCTACATTGTGAACGCGGTAGACCGCCTCACTCACTCAATGGAATCCCAGAGATTAGTGGGCAGGAACAAAAACATGAGTCATACTAACTGAACAAGCAGATAGATGACCTCACATTCTGTTAATCAACGCATGCCTCTACTGTACTGACCCTGTCAGTCAGGATTCATGCCACAAAATATGTTTTCTTATCCAAAGCGGACCTGATGGAAACCCTGTCCATAGTCCTGCTTTTCCCTCTCTTCCTAGCTCAAGATCTCCCTTCAGCTATGCTGAGTACAGACCGAGCCAAAGAGTTAGAAAACACATCTGTCAAAAACACGCCTTCCTAACCAAAGCGGACCTGATGGAAACCTGTGTCCACAGTCCTGCTTCTCCTCTCTTTCTTGCTCAAAATCGCCCTTCAGCCACGCTGAGTACAGATCGAGCCAGAGAATTAGAAGACATATCTAAGAGATAGAAATGGATAAATGGAGACGGCGTCGACCAGGATGCTGCTCTACAGATATCCTCTACTCCTGTTCCTCTGAAAAGGGCAGTAGAAGCCGCTACTCCACGAGTGGAGTGAGCTCTGATACCCTGAGGCAATTGCCGCCCTGCTACCTCATAAGCTGTCTCAATGCCTTCACAAAGCCAGTGAGACAACCTCTGTTTTGAAAGTGGTCTACCTAGTGCAGCCGCACCGTGACACACAAACAACTGAGGCGATGACCTAATCGCTGCTGTGCGCTCGACGTAACACGCCAAAGCGCGTACCGGGCACAGGCGATGGAGCTTTTCCTCACTCCTCTCTCTATGAGGAGGAGGAGAAAAATCCCACTGCTCCACGGTCTGTGACCTATATGAACTCTTAATAACCTTCGGCACAAATGCCGGGTTAGGACGTAACACTGCTCTGCTCAGGTCACCATTGATGGCCAAGCAGTCAGGTCTCGTCGAAAGAGCACACAAATCACTGACCCGCTTAGCTGTAGTCAAAGCGAGCAACAGTGCTGTCTTTATAGACAGCATCTTGAGGGGTATTTGATTCAATGGCTCGAACGGCGACTTACATAGCGCTTCGAGTACCAAAGCCAAATCCCACTGAGGAAGCGTGACTCTAGGTGTTGGCCTAAGTCGCCGCGTTCCTAATAGGAAGCGTTTCACTAGAGGGTGGCTAAAGACATTGTCTCTGCCAAAACCCTCATGACAAGCTGAAATCGCTGCTGCAAACACTCTAATCGTGGCAGGCGATTTTTTCTTATCAAACATGAGCTGTAGAAAAGAGAGAATACTCTCCACCTGACAGCTCATGGGGTCCACACCTTGTGTGACACACCATCGTGAAAACACGTTCCATCTACTGGCATACATCTTAGAAGTGGAACTGGCACGTGAACCCTGTATGGTCCTGATCACTGCATCAGATAACCCACGGCGCTCTAGCCTGTCCCTCTCAGCAGCCAGGCCTTCAGTGGTTGGCCGATTATGGGCAATTTCCCTATCGTGCCAGCCGCCTGAGACAACGCGTCCCGTCGATGTGGAATTGGCCAAGGTGGCGCAATCAACATCTGACTCATCTCCGCAAACCACGGAGCCCTCGGGCGATCGGGCGCTATCAGTATCACTGACAGCCCCCCTGACCTCACCCTGGCTAGCAGTGGGAGAATGCAGGACAGCGGAGGGAATGCATACAGGAGAACTCTCGGCCACGGTTGGTGCGCAAAGGCGTCCCTTCCCAGTGGCGGTTCGTCCTGTTCCCTCAGAGAGAACCACAGAGGACATTGCGCGTTCACGCGTGACGCGAATAGGTCCACCTCGGCTCTCCCGAATTGTTCACAAATCTGGAGAACAATGTCTGGATGCAGACACCACTCGTCGTCTCGAGGACCCCCTCTTGACATGAGGTCTGCTCCTACGTTCAAGTAGCCCGGAATGTGTGCTGCTCTCAATGAGCGAAGGTGCTCGTGAGCCCACAGCCACAATTCCTCTGCCGCCCGATGGAGAGCAGGAGACCTGACTCCTCCCTGGCGATTTATGTGGGCTACTGTGGTCCGGTTGTCTGACCAGACCAGCACATCGCGACCCCGAAGGGTAGACGCGAAGTGGGTCAGAACCAGTCGAACCGTTTCCAACTCCAGGAGGTTGATGTGACGACCTGATTGAGGCCACACACCTCCTATCGCTTGTGTCTGACATGTCCCTCCCCATCCCGTCAGGGACGCATCCGTGAATACTGGGATGTGAGAGGACACCTTTCCTATCGGGACTCCGTGCGTGAGAACGCGCGAGTTTCTCCAATAATTTAGGTCTGCACTGAGCGAGAGGGGAACCACCACCAACCGATGACGTTGACTCAATGGGTCTAGTCTTAGTTGGGCGAACCATCGCTGCGTCCTGCGCATGTGCAGGAGTCCCAGCGGAACCACAGAGTGGGCTGACGACATGAGACCCAAAAGTGACATGATCGACAGCGCCGTCACCGTGTGATTCGGACGACACTTCCTTAGGGCTAGCAACAAGGCTACCCTTCGGGGGTCCGAAATTCGAGCCCTCATCCTCACAGTGTCTAGCTGTATCCCCAGGTAGACAATCTGATGAGTGGGCCAGGGCGCGCTCTTTTTCCAATTCACAGCAAACCCCAGACTTGTGAGATGCATCACTGTCTGTGTTGTGTGAGTGATCGCCAGCTCTGCTGACGGGGCGAGAACCAGTAGGTCGTCCAGGTAGGCTAGTAGCCGTATTCCCTGACGATGCAACGGTTCCAATGCCGCCTCCACACACTTGGAAAATGTGCGAGGTGCCAGGGTGTACCCAAATGGCATCCTCGTGTATTCGTACGCCACCCCTTGAAAGGCGAACCGCAGAAACTTCCTGTGACGCGGCTGAACCGGCACATGAAAGTACGCGTCCTTTAGGTCTATGCTCGTACAAAAGTCCCCTCTCTGGACACATTCCAGCAGACGTTTTGTCGTTAGCATTCGGAAGGGCCGTTTGGTTATGCTCTTGTTGAGAATGCGTAAATCCAAAATCGGCCTCACTCCCCCCGTCTTTTTGGGCACTAGGAAATAAGGCGAATATAGCCCTTTGTTCCTTTGCTCCTGGGGAACTACTGTCACCGCCTCCTTTGCCAAAAGTTCCGTAATCTCTGTCATCAGAGCGGCCACTTTGTCTGGCGTTTTCATCACCGTCTCCACCACTCCCCTGAACGGGGGTGGGGTCCGGTGGAATTGGAGAGCATAACCCTTCTGCAACGTCTGTTCTAGCCAGCGTGAGAGGGTGCAGCTTCTTCGCCACTGCCAGCAATGCAGAGAAAGTGGCTGGGCGCGAAGCTGTGGTGCATCCAGTAGGAAGGACCTGTATTCCTCTATGGCCCTTACCGCCACTGTTCCCCAACATTGAAGTGGTGGAACAGCCCAAGGTGGGCCTCCCGTGAAAGGGAGAGGAAATGCGTTCTGAGAAAGAAAGAGGAGTAGGGACATCGGTTAAACCCGTAACCGTCGTATTCCTGCCCTCCTTGAACGCATCGCGGGTCTGAATTGCGCTGACCGAGGCCACAGCCTGCGGCAGGGCAACATCCCCAGCAAGCGATTGCGTCATCTTAGGTGACTGCAATTCGCTATCAGAGCCCTTCACTACAGTACTCCTAGAAGTCTGTAGTATGAGGTCTCTATGAGGTAAAACAAGGCGGCGCCTTGATACCTTCTTAACTTTCACCTTCTGTGTGTGTTCAACTCTGCACCCCTGGTGGGTTGAGTCACGCTCAGTGTGGTGAGTATTAGCGCGTTCAAAGGGAAGTGGGGGCGCCGATACACTGGGCACCTTCGTGACCGTGGTAATCGGGCCCTTCTTGAACGCAGCATGGGTCTGGGTCGTACTAACAGAGACCTTAGTCTGTGATAGTGCGCCATCCCCAATGTGGTTATTATCAGCGCATTCTGAGAGAAACGGGGGCGCCGATACGTTGGTTACGCCCGTAACCGTAGTAATCAGGCCCTCCGTGAACGCAGCACGGGTCTGAACTGCACTGACTGAGGCGTTAGCCTGAGACAGAGCGCCGTCCCGAATAGCGGTCGCGTCATCATGCCATTATCTGGCTGAGACTGCAGCCTGCTATGTGAGACACTCACTACAGCACTCCTAGGAGTCTGTAAAGTGAGGTCTTTATAAGGTACACTTAATACCTTTTATATACCTGCCTTATGTGTGCATTCAGCAACGCACCATGGTGGGCTGAGCTGCACTCATAGTGGTAAGAGAGAGAGCAAGAGTGAGGAAGGTCGAACACTCTCGGATGTATTATGGAAAAGGGGCTCTTTTTTGACAGTGTCAAGTAGAGCCAACTCTTTATTACACACATCAACAAAAAACATTCTCCTCCATACACTCAACGGTAGAGTGGGGGGGGGGGCAGTGGGCTCGGTCACAGCAGGCGCTGTGCCGTCTTCCGTTCTCTCCCCCTCGCCTGTCATAAACGGCGTCTCTTCTGGCCGCCCTTCGGGTGATGCCAGGATGACGCTTTAATGACCTCTCTCGCCGGCACCTCTGGCGCTGCAGGGGGGGGGCGAGGCCCGCTTCCTTGCTGCTGGAGGCCGCCGTCTGACGCCAAGCTGTAGCGAGAGTAACGGCCGCCCTTCCTCATATCCACTTCCGGGTTGGAGGGAATGGGGGGCAGCTTAATCTCCCGCTGTTTAGCAGCCCACTCAATGAGACCTGAGAATTCAGGCACAGAGAGGCTGTGGCGTCATCATCCAGGGATGTAATGACCTCACAATTTCCCGAAGGAAAAGGGGTGTTAAACATCTGGGTCAGTGTAATGAATTGTTCCAATAGAATATTCATTTCTTCCCCAATAGCCCTGTCATCTCCTGAGTCAGCGCCTTCAGATGATGCCTCAGAAGCTGAGACTAACACTGATAGCACATCCTCAAGAGGAATATCCTCCCTAAAAATGCCCAACGCTGCTTCCACTCCTTCAAAAAAGGAGGGCGCAGCTGGCGCATAGTGGGGGATTAACGAAGCTGTCCCCGGCGTGCTGTGTCCCTCAACCCACGAAACATATGTCGGGGGGGTCGACAGCCGCCAAGGGGAACAGCGACATTGAGCTCTGAAAAGAGCTTTTGTTAAATACTTACCCTATGGATAAGCTTGGTGTGCTCATTGTAGGACGACGTCGATGATCTGGAAAATCGACGGCGTTTTCTTCGTCCTGAGTCTTCTCTTCGTCTCTTCTTGGCTTCTTCAGTCTAGTCCAGTCGCTGAAGAAAAAGGGAGGCTGATTGAGGGGAGGCATCCCCTCTTATAGGGACACCTGTACTCCTATTGGCTGTAGGTGTGTGCATAATTTTGTCTCAGGCTGCTGCTGCCTTAGGGCAGAGGGTAAACCACTAGGAGCAGAGCTCCCCTATGGGGCGGAGCTCCACGATATAGAACTTACCCTTAGTAGCTACTGTTAGCCAGTTAAGTGCAAAGCTAGCCACTGAATCGATTCAGCCAGTTCGCGTCTGTCCCAACAGAGAGAAAGGGTCTCCAAATATATGAGTTTAAATGTATTTGGCTAAGGTGTATGTAAACTTCCGACTTCAACTGTATATACTCTGTTAATTACAAACGTAGGATATTTGCATTTTCTTACCTTTCTGTATTTTGTTTTCAAACAGGAAGGCCCTCCTCTTGCTCAAAAAGAAAAGATACCAGGACCAGCTCCTGGACAAGACGGAAAACCAGATTAGCAACCTGGAGCACATGGTAAATAGTTAACACATTTGTCAACATTTTGCACCATAGCAAAATGTTTTGCAACAGAAAACGTTTACTCTAAACGGAAAACGCTTTGCAATGAAAACAATTGTTTTTATTGGACAAATTTAGGTCCCTCTCCATTTCATTCTGTTTTCTTTCATTTGGTTCTTTTTGGTTCCTAGTGAATACACCCCTGTACTCAACTAATGCTTTCTGATCTTGTTTTCTTTAGTGTCAAGACATTGAGTTTGCCCAGATTGAAATGAAGGTCATTGAAGGACTTAAAGTTGGAAACGACTGCCTGAAGTCATTGCATGAGGTATGTGAGGGTATCAGAGATCTATGTTTGTTCTCTATGCAATTTCCCTATGACACAGGAAAGTAGCATACTGTATGTGTTTCTCTTTTCCATAAGCCATCAGTAAGATAAATAGGTTGCTTAGGGCGTTTTCACATATGGAGTTCGGTACCCTGGTTCGGTTTCTCTGAGCGTTTGTGAGAATTCTACAGAATACGTTTCGCTTTCACAACACCTGAAAATAACCGTTTCAGGATACGATTTGCGAGACGCACCTTCTACATGACATTAGCGAGCTAGCTTGTTTACAACAGGCAAAAGGTTTCACTTGAATTGCGCTGCCGAGTCTAATACCTGGTACTCTTGTCCTGGATCTTGGACCCGCTGCTCATGCTGGTCCAGGATTAGTTTCAGCCAGGGTTCGTTTGCTATATAGCGCGGATCAGGGTACTAAATGCTCCAGGATCTGGATCATACAGGGGATATGTGAAAGCGCCCTTAGTTACCTTCAGTGCATCTGCAAACCAAATTCCATTCTGCATGAATAAGCCATGAATAAAACATTGGCTTCCCTGTACTTACTGTTTTTTGTTTTTTCGTATCAGGCGATGTCTATCGAGGATGTGGAGAGAATTATGGATGAGACCCAAGAAGCCATTGAATACCAGAGGGTAAGGTCCCCACTGTTTCTTTTTACAGAGGCGTTGATATCTTATTGAAATTACTGTGTTTTGTTTATTTATTTGTACCTTTTTATCTCTCTTCAGGAAATAGACGAGATGCTGGCAGGTTCCCTGACACAGGAGGATGAAGATGCTGTACTGGCTGAACTGGAGGCCATCACTCAGGTCAGTCTGAATGACTCAACAACAACACTGGCTGGAAAGGCAGAAACCATCTCATCATGAGACTGTCCACCTGGACAGTATCTATCCAATATCAATATAATGTTATATTTCATACAAATATAATGTTTTTTTTCATACAAATAGAATGTTCTATTTCGTAGAATAGAACGTACATTTCTATGCTCTCTGCTCAAGTCCCTCCTCCATTTCTCCCGGTCTCGCTCTTTCTTACTATTCCTTTCTCTATAACCTTGGATTTGTTTTTGTATGTGTAGGGAGACCTTGACCTACCAGAGGTACCTGATGAGTCCCAGCCTGAGGTCCCAGAGGCAGCTGAGGGAGAACCAGGTCAAGGTAAGACTCCTCAGATATGGCATCATGTCATATGTCATCATGCTGAATTACATTGAGGGTTAATTTCATGTTGAGAGAATGTGTTCAGCAGATTTAGATTCAGATTTAGGTTAAAGACTCCATCAGCTTTAATAGACATTACATGCTAACTAAGAGTCATTCTGAGTCTGTCTGGTTGTCTTTATTTCAGAGAGGGGGAGACAGAGGAAGAAGCAGGAACGAGAGATGTTGGCTGTCTAGAAACGCTTGTTTGCCAATGGACTTGGTACGCCGGCCACTATATCCCCCTCGTGGGGGTCTCATGCCCCAACCACCACACACAACCACAGAAAGATTATCTTCACTCACTGGAAGCTGAAGCATCTCTTCCAGTCCCTCACCGCCAAGACTGATGCTCCTGGTGCCCTGCTAAGCCTTGGCCTTGTGAGCCCAACTAGGGCTCTATAGGCCTCCTCTGGACTCAACAACCCCATCACTCCAACCATGGACATGGACCTTATTTTTCAGGTCATTGCCTGCAGGTTCTCTCCTATCCTTTTTATGTTTAGGGCCTATTTATATTGTGCCTATTGCCTAAGTCCCTTGACAGGTGTGTGTTTTTTAAATCTTCTGTGAACAAATTATGTGATTAACAGACAAATGAATGAGTGTCACTTTTATTTCTTTATTTCTCTTCAACCTTTTGTGACTTATGCCTGTTATCTGACCACAGAGCACATTATATTTGGTAGGAATAGTCTACATTTATGTCTTTCAAAATCATGACTATTTGGACTATTTTCAGAATCTTGACCTGTTTAGATGCCAAATCTTAGTTCAAAATGCCTTTATTCCTGCCAAACTGTCAAGAATCGATTTGACTTTTAGCTTTGGTTTCAACTTGTTGATTTGGGGACAGAATCCTTATAACAGTACTGACCTATTTGCTAAAGCAGCCATTTCATGTATATTCATTTTCTTCCTCGCTGTCGAGCTGTTTAGCCAATCTAATGCTCCAGTTCATTTTGGCTTGGGGATTAGTTCAGTGTCATTGGAGAAAGGAAGAGCTAATCGTATAATAATAATAATATGCCATTTAGCAGACGCTTTTATCCAAAGCGACTTACAGTCATGCGTGCATAAATTTTTTTGTGTATGGGTGGTCCCGTATATTGTCAGTGGGCTTACTTACCTCTGTACCTCACAGACAACACCAGACAACACTGGTGTTCTCATCGGATGCCTAGATTTGACTATGATTTCAGTCCAAGACGCCCTCACAGAGCCTGATGCCCTAGCTATCTTTCCAGTGAGTATTATGAAATTAGGTCTGTCTTACTATGAAGTGTGATATTGGATTGTTAGCTGCCTGGGTCTGTAATATTTTACTGGCATATCATATCATGATTCTCTTAGAGCATTGGCTAATTATTTCTTTATCTGAAATGGAGGGCCTACATATAAAAGAGAAGCACTACCCATATTTGATATATGTAAGTGGCTTATCAGACCAGATATGTATGGTATAAAAAGTATTACTGTTCTCTAATCTGTAAGTCTCTCTGAGATGCTCTTGACAATAACTGTGGAGACCATTTCCCAGTTATATCCTATTGACAAACCTGTGGCGTGTCTATACGAAATCTCTTCTTATTCTGTAACAATACAAGCATTTTTAAAAGTAGTCCTTGGCCAGTCTGGTTTTACTCGGTATGTTGATATAAACAACCACTAGAGGGCAGCAAATAGCAGCGTATGTTTTTCCTGTTCATGAACTGCACCTCAGCATACATTGGTTAGTGAATGTATTGTGTGGATTGGGGTGCTGTCTCATGTTTTTATTCTGTGTGCTGTGCATGTATATGGGACAGTAACTACTTAGCTATGGGGAGAATCATATAAGATCAGCCTTTTGCTGTACATTATACTCGACTTCATGTGATGAATGAAATGTAACTGTATACAGCATCCTTGGATTATACTGAGGTCCTCTTAAATCATTCCATAGTGGGACACAGAGAATTGTAATACAGCAACCTATGACTAAAGATGCCAAGTAAGGAGTAAGTGGTAGGTCTTATCTCCTGTATGGCCCACATCTTTGGGGGAAATCCGTGAAACGATTAGTATCTTTATGGGAAAAGTACTTCACCTTTTCATAAGTGAACGCTGATGTTCCGTTGAATGAATTTGCTGCATTATGTCGCTGATAGTTCCCGTCAAGCCAATGACAGTGTGGGAGACTGGAAGTGGGTGGGAAAAGGCAAAGGCAGTAAGGGAACATTAATGACAGAGCAAGTAACTGTGCTCTATGATTCACAAAAGGGAGATTTAAACCTGAGAGACTGTTACAGGCAGGGAAAATGGAGTGAGTGGGATGTGTAGGAGGAGAGGAGGCTGTTTCAAGTGCTCCTGAGAAAGAGCCTGGTCTGCAGAGGAAGGCGCCGTAATGATGATCTGGGGGATATGGGAGGCAGGGATTGTGTGTGTCTGTCCCCTTGCTGCCAATCTATCTGGCAAAGGTAGCAGAATGCCACACACTGTCCCCCCTTTATTATCATACAGTGACTGACTAGCCCCACCCCCGCACCTTAATTGGGGAGGACGGGCTCGTGGTAATGGCTGGAGCGGAATCAGTGGAATGGTATCAAACACATGGTTTGATGCCATTCCATTCGCTCCGTTCCACCCATTATTATGAGCTGTTCTCCCCTCAGCAGCCTCCACTGGTAAGAATGCTGTTCATTGACTACAGCTCAGCATTCAACACCATAGTCCCATTCAAGCTCATCACCAAGCTCAGGACCCTGGGACTGAACACCTCCCTCTGTAACTGGATCCTGGATTTCCTGAAGGGCCGCCCCCAGGTGGTGAGGGTAGGCAACAACACATCCGCCACGCTTACCATCAACACAGGGGACCCTCAGGGGTGTGTACTTAGTCCCCTCCTGTACTCTCTGTTCACCCACGACTGCGTGGCCTCGCACAACTCCAACACCATCATCAAGTTTGCTGCCAACAACTGTGGTAGGACTGATCACCGGCGACGATGAGGCAGCATATAGGGAGGATGTCAGAGATCTGGCAGTCTGGTGCCAGGACAACAACCTCTCCCTCAATGTCAGTAAGACAAAGGAGCTGATTGTGGACTACAGGAAACGGAGGGGCGAGCACGCCCCCACCCACATCGACAGCACTGTAGTGGAGCGGGTTGAGAGCTTCATGTTCCTCAGTGTCCACATCACTAAGGAATGAACATGGTCCACACACCCACACAGTTGTGAAGAGGGCACGACAACGCCTCTTCTCTCTCAGGAGGCTGAAAAGATTTGACATGGGCCCTCAGATCCTCAAAAAGTGCTATAGCTGCACAATTGAGAGCATCTTGACTGGCTGCATCACCGCTTGGAACGGCAACTGCAAGGCACCCGACCGCAATGCGCTACAGAGGGTGAGTACGGCCAAGTACATCACTGGGGCCGAGCTCCCTGCCATCCAGGACCTCTATACGAGGCAGTATCAGAGAAGGCCTCCAAACAATTAAGACTCCAGTGACCCAAGACATAGACTGTTCTCTCTGCTGCAGCATGGCAAGCAGCACCAGTGGACCAAGTCTAGAACCAACAGGACCCTGAACAGCTTCTAGCCCTAAGGCATAAGAGTGCCAAACAGCTAATCAATGGCTACCTGGACTACCTGCATTTACCTTTTTTTGCACTAACTCTCTTGCACTGACTATGCACACACACTGGACTACCCACACACTCACACATACTTACAGTACACTGACACCCCAACACATACATACACACACACACACACAACATATGCCCACACACATATAACATGCACACACATGCATACTGACGCCACACACATACACACACACACTTTCACACTCACCACATACGCTACTGTCTATTATCTATTCTGTTGCCCAGTAACTTTATCCCTACCTATGTACTGTTCATAGCTACCTAAATTACCTCGTACCCCTGCACATCGACTCTGTACTGGTACTCCCTTTATATAGCCATGTTATTTTCAACTCCCTATATATAGCCATGTTATTTTCTACTTCCTGTACCCATGTTGTTTTCAACTCCCTATATATAGCCATGTTATTCTCTACTCCCTATATACAGTGAGGGAAAAAAGTATTTGATCCCCCGCTGATTTTGTACGTTTGCCCACTGACAAAGAAATGATCAGTCTATAATTTTAATGGTAGGTTTATTTGAACAGTGAGAGACAGAATAACAACAACAAAATCCAGAAAAACGCATGTAAAAAATGTTATAAATTGATTTGCATTTTAATGAGGGAAATAAGTATTTGACCCCCTCTCAATCAGAAAGATTTCTGGCTCCCAGGTGTCTTTTATACAGGTAACGAGCTGAGATTAGGAGCACACTCTTAAAGGGAGTGCTCCTATTCTCAGCTTGTTACCTGTATACAAGACACCTGTCCACAGAAGCAATCAATCAATCAGATTCCAAACTCTCCACCATGGCCAAGAGCAAAGAGCTCTCCAAGGATGTCAGGGACAAGATTGTAGACCTACACAAGGCTGGAATGGGCTACAAGAGCATCGCCAAGCAGCTTGGTGAGAAGGTGACACCAGTTAGTGCGATTATTCGCAAATGGAAGAAACACAAAATAACTGTCAATCTCCCTCGGCCTGGGGCTCCATGCAAGATCTCACCTTGTGGAGTTGCAATGACCATGAGAACGGTGAGGAATCAGCCCAGAACTACACGGGAGGATCTTGTCAATGATCTCAAGGCAGCTGGGACCATAGTCACCAAGAAAACAATTGGTAACACAGTACACCGTGAAGGACTGAAATCCTGCAGCGCCCGCAAGGTCCCCCTGCTCAAGAAAGCACATATACAGGGCCGTCTGAAGTTTGCCAATGAACATCTGAATGATTCAGAGGAGAACTGGGTGAAAGTGTTGTGGTCAGATGAGACCAAAATCGAGCTCTTTGGCATCAACTCATCTCGCCGTGTTTGGAGGAGGAGGAATGCTGCCTATGACCCCAAGAACACCATCCCCACCGTCAAACAGGGAGGTGGAAACATTATGCTTTGGGGGTGTTTTTCTGCTAAGGGGACAGGACAACTTCACCGCATCAAAGGGACGATGGACGGGGCCATGTACCGTCAAATCTTGGGTGAGAACCTCCTTCCCTCAGCCAGGGCATTGAAAATGGGTCGTGGATGGGTATTCCAGCATGAAAATGACCCAATACACACGGCCAAGGCAACAAAGGAGTGGCTCAAGAAGAAGCACATTAAGGTCCTGGAGTGGCCTAGCCAGTCTCCAGACCTTAATCCCATAAAAAATCTGTGGAGGGAGCTGAAGGTTCGAGTTGCCAAACGTCAGCCTCGAAACCTTAATGACTTGGAGAAGATCTGCAGAGAGGAGTGGGACAAAATCCCTCCTGAGATGTGTGAAAACCTGGTGGCCAACTACAAGAAACGTCTGACCTCTGTGATTGCCAACAAGGGTTTTGCCACCAAGTACTAAGTCATGTTTTGCAGAGGGGTCAAATATTATTTCCCTCATTAAAATGAAAATCAATTTATAACAGTTTTGACATGCGTTTTTCTGGATTTTTTTGTTGTTATTCTGTCTCTCACTGTTCAAATAAACCTACAATTAAAATTATAGACTGATCATGTCTTTGTCAGTGGGCAAACATACAAAATCAGCAGGGGATCAAATACTTTTTTCCCTCACAGTATAGCCATGTTATTTTCAACTCCCTATATATAGCCATGTTATTTTCTACTTCCTGTATATAGCCATGTTATTTTCTACTCCCTATATATAGCCATGTTATTTTCTACACCCTGGATATAGCCATGTTATTTTCTACGTCCTGTATATAGCCATGTTAGTTTCTACTCCCTGTATATAGCCATGTTATTTTCTACTCCCTATATATAGCCATGTTATTTTCTACTCCCTGTATATAGCCATGTTATTTTCTACTCCCTGGATATAGCCATGTTATTTTCTACTCCCTGGATATAGCCATGTTATTTTCTACACCCTGGATATAGCCATGTTATTTTCTACTTCCTGTATATAACCATGTTATTTTCTACTTCCTGTATATAACCATGTTATTTTCTACTCCCTGTATATAGCCATGTTATTTTCTACTCCCTGTATATAGCCATGTTATTTTCTACTCCCTGTATATAGCCATGTTATTTTCTACTCCCTGTATATAGCCATGTTATTGCCTACTTCCTGTATATAGCCATGTTATTTTCTACTCCCAGTATATACCCATGTTATTTTCTACTCCCTGTATATAGCCATGTTATTTTCTACTTCCTGTATATAGCCATGTTATTTTCTACTTCCTGTATATAGCCATGTTATTTTCTACTTCATGTATATAGCCATGTT